CATACCGTTAGTATACTGTTAGGTTACCGTTAGTATGTGTCTGTATTTGTGTTCTGCCTTCATACATGTGGTTTACTTTAGCAGTTGTAGAGAAACACCAAGCGATTCTTGGAGAAGTCTGAGGGGGATCTTCGCACCTGCATCCGTGGCATCCTGGCTCCAGACATGTGCGAGAGTTCCTCTTGAGCTCACAAGGGCACAGCCGCCGGGAGACCAGCCGCGGGGAAACCCCGCCGGGAGACCCAGGCGGCTGCCATGGACAAATCAAAATATGCATGGCATTTGTCGTGTGAAGGAAAGATGCTTGTTTTGAGGATCACAGTCACGATTTTCGCATGGACTCCCTCAGAAAACGAGTCCATAGGAACAACCAGCGGTTTAGATCAATATCACCTGATGAAGACCAAGTACACAAGGTTTTTTTTCACTTGGTCAAAAGCATGTTTTTCCCTTGATAAGGTTTCATGTTGACGTGAAACAGTGTGCAACCGAGAGGTCCCCTTTCTGCTCAGGACCGAATCAATCGTGCGCCCACAGGATGATCACGACCACACCTCACCTCAAAGAACATGCTGCCGACGGATCACTGGAGTGACGACCGTCCCCACCAAAGAAGCAAAGCAAAGCTCCACACGTGCACGTCGCAGTGCTTCAAAGCTCTGAACACAAAATGACAAGCGGAGCTGCACGTGACCAAGGTCACAACATGTCCCAAATCTCCAAACAAATCTCCCAACAAATCTCCCAAATCCCAACACAAACTTTTTGGGTAGCAAGTGGGACCAACAAGTTCCGCCGGAAACAACATCCCAATAGTCGTCACGACACCACAAATGCAGCCAGAGCTCTGCTGCGCGGTCCACTTTGAACAGAAAACATCGACCTTTGGTGTAGGCGAGATGCACCAAGTAGTAGTCCCAGAACCATAGCCCCCGCCCCACTCCTTGACTTTGGCAACTTGGGCCCGGAACGTAGATCAGTTAATAAATACCTTTAAAATGAGCAAAAAGTTCTCATAGATCCCCAAAGATCACGCTGGGGCGGCTTGAACCACGCTACTAGTGCCAGAGATTCACTAAAGTTGGTGCAGCACGTCCCCAAATCCATAGTTGGACATGCCCAAAAACATCCGGTTGAACACGGGGTACCAATGGAATCGTAGATTTTGTCATACGAAAGCCAGCCGACAGGCAAGGCTTAGCTGTTGGTTGCGAACGTACACGTGAGCATTATAGGGCGTCTGAGGGCCGTGGCCGACTATTGCCGCTAAAAAGTAGCAGGTGGCAATTTGGTGACGGTAGGGCTTCGATTCCGCCTGGTTCGCAAAGTGGGCTGGTCCGCCCCCCCCCCCGGTCTGCAAACTGTGGGGCCGGGCGGCAAGGGTTTTGCTACTAGATGAACCCATGCTGAACCTCAACGGCTGATATGGCCCCTTGGCACTGAAGGTGGCTAAACCACAAATAGACTTTTTTGAATAATGTGAGGTATAGATTACAGAAAGGTTTCAGGTATTAGATGGACCCGCTCAAGCCGTTTCCTAGCAGATTATTCTGATTTGTTGAAGCTCAACAGGTTTCGGGGCACGTCATGCTTGCACTTTGATGGATCTTATCCTTGGGTCTTGTTGGATTTGGGGGAAGCGTGTGATGGATAAAGCGCTCAAGGAGGTGTGTTGGCTAGAGGAGATGTGAGAGGGGTGGAACAATGTCATGTATGGAGCAGACGCGGTCAAAGCCGACTCCCCGACTCCTGCCTCAGAGCTTTATAAAGGGGCTCCGCACATTCAACCCTCGCTGGCTTTCGTTCCCTCCCTCGCAGGTTTGTAACCTGCAATTTGAGGGACGGCCATTATGCATCATTGTGCTATTCTGCCCGCAAAGTGGTCTTGGAATGGGCCCTTGGCTAAGGCGCTTGGTCTTGGTGGAAACTGTGCGCAATTACCTCAAGAAGCGCTATGCTCGGAACCCCCAGACTTTGTGGCAGATCCGGCAGTAGAGAGTTTCGCCTGTTTTTAAATCCGGCATAGACGCGTGTGAGTATGTCCAAACAATTGAAAGATTGCGATATTGAAACCGTGTGTGTCTGGTTTTGCTGGCAACTGCTTCAGGTAAATCAACTGCTTGCGTCTATAAACATTGACGTGTCACAGGCAGCAGCGTCCACTCACTTTGAACCATCATGCCAGGGCTAGAGTAACATCCGTTGAAGATGTGACACTTGCTGGCGTAAAAATGGGCTTATTCATCCTTCCTTACCATATTCCAGGTGTTGTCACATTCCTTCACCCCCACGTGTTGACAATATTTGACCTCCTGTTTTGGCGTTGTCTTGATTTATATATTGGGACCTAATTGTGAACATTGCCAGCAAAAGTGGTGTTACCAAAGTAACCTGTGGCCAAGGCTGATCCGGGCAATGAAGACGAAATCGGTTGCCGTTACCGTGGTTGCAGCCTGGTTGAATAGATGGACCTTGTGTGTTCAAAGAGGATAATCTTGCAATGTGAAAGGTGTTCATGTGGGCTGACACAGTGCAACTGAAATCGATGCTATGTAGTGGCTAGTTTGCAGAATGAGGTGTTTCGTGCTGAAATCCTGTAAGAACAAAGGGTACTTGACTGCCGATACATGGGAACCCGGCCCTGAGGTCTCATGTCCATGGTATTTACTGTGCTTTATGATATTTTTGGGCTTTGATTTTGAACGGTTATTTTTTTATGTGTTGTATGGCCTTTGATGAAAGCGGGTTAACGTATATACATACATACATGCATGCATGCATTACATTACATTACGTTACATTATATTACATTACATTCCATTGCGTTGCGTTGCATTACATTACATTACATTACATACATCCATACATGTATGCATGCATGCATGCATGCATGCATCCATCCATATATGCATACATCATGAAGAGATCTTGCCAAGAGACCTCCCACAGACATCTCGCCCAGAGGTCTTGCCAAAAGACCTCTTATAGAGATCTGTGCAAGGAGAGCTCTTACAGAGATCTTGTTCAGAGAGCTTGCCAGCAGACCTCTTTTGGAGATCTTGTACAGAGACCTGGTGAAGAGAGCACAAGTTTTGCTCGGAAGTCATATATAGATAGCCTGAACAGAGATCTTATTCAGAGATTCCTTACAAAGAACTTCTGTGGAGATCTCCTGTAGACACCTTGTAGAGATAGCCTTACGCAGGGATCTTGCACAGCAGCTTCTACAGAGAACCTGTCAAGGAGATCTTGTGCACGATCTTCTATACAGAGATCTTCACAAAGGGAACTTGCAGAATCTTACCTGGTATCTCTTCTTTTCACTACTAGGGTCGCTCTTGTCCTGCTAGCTTGCAGCCGGTACTGATTTTAAGTCTTTTCCACCTTTCTCTTTAGAATCCGAACTACGCACTGTTTGGGGTCTCTTGCCGGGATAATTATCCGTACGTGCTCTTACACAGAGGTTTGTACACAGAGAAGCTTTTACACACTTGCAAAGTCATGAAAGACAGTTTCTTATCATGAATGCAAAGTCTGATTACCTCATGGTAGGTTGAAGGCATCACTCGGCCATACCGAGTTAAAAAGGCCAAGCTTATCCGTTGACATTTGGATGTCAGGTTGTTTAAAAGAAAAACCGAGATTTCTCAATCCGACATGGTCATGAAATGAATGAATGACGGCATGCAGGTTCTTGGGTTAGCCTGATCCCATGGAGTACTAACGGATACGGATATGACCACCAGCTATGACCCCAACATATTGGGTATGTCATCCAGGTGCATCATGCAGGTACGTTTTCACAACCTGAGGTGAGTGCCTTCATTGGCACAAGACTCACCAAAGGTCCTTGTGCCCCCTGCTATGAATTAAAGGCGCAACGGTATCAATAATTTATGGAAGAAAGCGGCCAAAAACAAGTTAGTTGAAGTCAGCCACAAAAGGCGAAGAACTCTTTGGTACAGAGCTTGACACACACAAAAAGGCACGTAGCCGGGCTTGTGTTCCTTTAATTGCGTAGATGCAAGACATCAACAAGTGATTTATAAAAATCCGCACTGGAACATTTGCAACCTCATCAGCATATCAGTAGCTACTTTCCAAAGCCAAAAGTTTAGGTATGCTTGAACTGCCTTCTGTACAAGACGCGTTGGCAGTCTGTTTTGGAGAACCCTTTCTGTACATACAGCTGAATGAGTTGATTGAGATCGTCACGGACAAATTGTTCGAGAAACGTGTATCTGCGAATTAAGGTTGCACGGGACTTTAGTCCGGACAAGCGGAGACGCATGCTGCCAGCAGAATGGAGATCGCGAATTTTCCATAATGGAGGTACTTGGTACCTTACGGTTCGTTGCACCACATCGATGGTGAACCCAAGGAGTGTACCATCTTGGACGGTTTCCAACTCCACCGGCGCTTGATAAAAGAAACAATCGGAAAGCACTTGCATGGGCAGTGCGGAGCGAAAACGGTGGTCAAACAAAATAAATCCGTCGTCCACATACCATTGAAGGAGGCGCTCGATGTTCTGGA